AGAGAGAGAGAGAGAGAGAGAGAGAGAGAGAGAGAGAGAGAGAGAGAGAGAGAGACACACACACACACAGAGAGACACAGAGAGAGAGAGAGAGAGAGAGAGAGAGAGAGAGAGAGAGAGAGAGAGATGTGTTTATATATGTATGTAACTGCAAACGGGGTTATGGTGGCCCTGGTGGGTTATAACTTTGAGTAAGATCATGGGTTAGGGGACTCGGCAGACCGTAGAGGGTTTAGCAAACGCCGTTCTGTGACAGACTGTTCCGTAGTCGAGGTTTCCCCGCCTCATGAATCGATCAGTAGACGCTCAACCCTCTACAGTCTCTGCAGAGTCCCCTTACCGATGAGCTTCCTCAAAGTGAGAATCCACCTTAACCATGGTTGCCATTATATACTTGCGCGCGAACACACACACACACACACACACACACACACACACACACACACACACATACATAGATACATACAGATCGTCAAACAGAGCTGCCTACGGTAAACCGTCGGCAGAGAGGGAGGGAGGGAGAAGAGGGGGACAACAAACAAGGGGCTGTGACAGACACTGGTTCGTCGGAGTCAATCAGCAACTGACTCGTCAATCAGTAGAGGCTGAACCCTCAAAAACAGTCTGCAGAATCGCTTAACCTGATGATTACAGGGTGAGTGATATAGTCCATCTTAACCCCGGTTGTGGTTAGGCATCAACGACTGCCCGAGAACTGATACCTTCCTGAGGTGTAATCAGTGAGGGGATTCTGCAGAGTGTTTAGGGATCTGCACGCTTGTATGGTCACGCCAGGATGTACCCGACCGTAATCACGTCCAGATGAGAGTTACCTGCACGCTTTTATGGTCAGGCCTGAATGCACCTTCCCGTAATCACGTCCAGATGAGAGTTACCTGCACGCTTTTATGGTCAGGCCTGAGTGCACCTGCCCGTAATCACGTCCAGAGAAAAGTTGAAAAAGTCCACGGGTGAGTATAATGGCGGCTCCCACCTTTTTTCTTTTTCGCTCCTTAAAAACTTTTTTTTGTCCATGTACCGAATGATGCCGATTGATGCGCATAGTTCTTTTTTTTTTTTTTTTTCTGACCTTCCTTCACGACGCAATAAAACAGGGATCTCTAAGTTCGCTCTCAAAAGACGTATTACTAGCAAAACCCCTCCACTAATTAAGTAATAATCCTACACTCATTAATTAGACAGCCTGGCCTACTCGATTAACACCTATTCACTAGAAATCCTTCACTCACAAAAAAGAAAACATAAATGATTCGAAATTGTGCCTGCACCCATCTCTCTCCCTTCTTTCCCTTTTTTTTCGTTTTTTCCCCCTCTCTCGTTTCCTTCTTTCTGATATACCCATGTGATTATGATGATGATGATGATGATGATAATAGGCATACCTTGAAGTGATGATGATGATGATGATGATGATGATGATGATGATAGGCTTACCTTTCTCCACGTGTCTTTTATTCTCACCTTGCTTGCTCCACGTGTCTTCTATACTCTCTTTGCTTGCTCCACGTGTCTGTTACTCTCTCCGTATCGCTCGACGCGCTTGGATTGCGAGTCGTCATCTTATATAGCTCTTCGGATTCTATGGATGAACCTCTCTT